AGAGAGAGAGAGAGAGAGAGAGAGAGAGAGAAAGAATGCAGTACATGGCATCCGCAGCAGAGGCATCAATGGTGCATCTAATACCACTCAGGTGACTGGGAGAGGGTGTCTGGCTCCTCCTGCGTCATCCTCGTTGTTTAACGGTCTGTGGGAGGCGAACATGAGGGAGCTAGAGCAAGAGGATATGAGTGGGGGGAGAGGGGGAGGGGGAGGAGGGGGGGGAGAACGGAGTCTGTCCATTGGGGTGGGGAGCGCGGGCGGGGAAGAAGCATCCATGCGGGAATGTGTTGAGCCGAAGGTTCGGACGCGGGGCCACTGGCGTCCGGCTGAGGACGAGAAATTGCAAGAGTTGGTGGCCCTTCACGGGCCGCAGAATTGGAACTTGATAGCGGAGAAACTGCCGGGGAGATCGGGGAAGAGCTGCCGCCTTCGGTGGTTCAATCAGCTGGACCCACGGAATAACAGAAGGCCATTCACAGAGGAGGAGGAGGAGCGTCTCCTGGCCGCGCACAGGTTCCACGGCAACAAGTGGGCGCTCATTGCGCGCCTCTTTCCGGGGAGGACAGACAACGCCATCAAGAATCATTGGCATGTGATAATGGCAAGAAATAACAGGGAGAAGAAGTGGGGGAAGGCGAGCGTGCTGCGGGTTGGAAACACAGTCTGCAGGAAAGCGGGGAGCTGTTGGGGGGGGGAGGAAGGAGGGGTGGTGAATGAGAGCAACGGCAGGGATGTGATGGTTTCGCAAGGCGCAGCCATCGCCGCAGCTGTGGCGGCACAGGCAGCGGCAGCGCAGGGCGGCGGAAGTTGTCACCGCGAGGGGAGCGAAGGGGGGGGGACAATGATGCCCCGGCAACAGCAGCAGCAGCAGAGGGCGGTTGGCGCGGGGGCAGCCGGGGGGTCTCCCATTGCGCTGGGGATGGGGATGGGCATGGGAGGTCCCAATTTGCTGGCCGCGGGCGCGTTGGCTGCGCAAGCGTCGCTTCATCAGGCGGCGGCTATGGCAGCCATGGAGCATAGGATGGACCTTCGAGGAGGAGGTGCCACATCGGAGGATCTACTTCAATCCGCCGCGGGGCACGTCCGCATTGCGCTCCGCGACGGTCGGCCCGATGGCCCGGTGGCTGCAGCGCTGCCCATCTCCTGGTGTGGGGGAGCGGGAGGGGGAGGAGGAGGAGGAGGAGGGGGTGTGCCCAACCTCCACCATGTGAATGAGAACGGTGGGGTTGGCTGCACCGGGAGCAGCGTGCACTGTGCTGGATCGCCTGAAGGGCCCAGCACGAGCGGGAGCAGCACAAGTAATAGGAACACGTTCAGGAAGGTGCTGACAGGGGTCGGTGCCTCTCAGGACTTGGCCTCCGTATCGACTGCAGCAGCAGCAGCAGCTGCTGCGGCATGTAACGTAGAGAGTCTGGATTCACGTCTTGACTACAACAACACCCATGCGAACCATGCCCATCACCCTCATCTACAGCAGCAGCAGCAGCAGCAGGCCGCTGCCGCTGTGGCCGTTGAAGTCCTGAGGTTACGCCAAGCTGCCGTCTCTGCGGGTGGGCACGGATTAGCAGCAGCAGCAGGAGGAGGAGGACCTCCCTCCTCCTCACTGCCCGACACTCTTGCTGCAAGTGCTACTTCGATGGTTATCAGCACTTACCCCCTGCACAGCCCAGTTTTAGAGCAGCCATTGATTACGCGGAGCCCCTCCAGCATCGCAGCAGGCGAGGGAGGAAGAGGATCACCAGGATCCTCGTCAAAGGTCGTCAAGTCCACGTGTTCCTTGCTGCCGCATTCGTCGACGTTCCTAGAGCTTGCACCGAGGAAAGCCCAGTCTTGTACATTGACGCTATCGGCATCGGACGGGACGTCCCCGCCCCCCAGTTCCCCTTCGCCTCTGGCAATCGGGCGAGGGTTGAGATCAGGAGGGTGCGGGGCCTTCACACCGTACTCGGAGTTTCTTCAAGTGGCTCCCTCCTGCGAGAGGGATGGGGAGAGGGACAGGATGGGGGGGAGAGGTGCTGGTGGTCCTCCATCGACGAGCGGAAGAGGCCAACAAGAGGTACCTGGAACTGGAAGTGGAACTGGGACTGCTTCGCCTTCTGCGGCTGTGATGGGCGCAGCCGCTGCCGCGGCCGAGGCTGCTCGGCGTCATCAGCAGCTCCAGGCTTGCCATGCCATCAGCCTCAGCAACGTGCGCAACGAGGGGGTAGACGGCGGCGGACGGTTCCCGCCAATGGCGGGAGCGGCGAAATCGGTGGCAGCGGGCGGAGCCGAAGCGGAAAGAGCGGCGGAGTGGACACTGAAGGCGGCCGTTGCTCAGCAATCGCGGTCGGGGCCTATGGTGGAGGACGAGGTGAGGCCTCCTCCCAATTTTTCGTTGAAGTCAACGATGAAGACGGAGAAGTTGGAGAAGGAGCCATCGTCGTCCTGTGAGGGTGGGGGGGGCGCATGGTGTCGCCTGCCCAAGTGGCTGTTATCTCCGCACTCGAGCACAATAACGGACCTCACGCGCTCCAGTCGGACAACCAACGGCGGGGGAGTGTCAGAAGTGGACAATGGAGATGGGGATGTGAGCAGTTCAACCTTCTTGTTGCAGCAACTGGCACACGACCAGCGCGTGATGCAGCAGCAGGCCCAACAGCAGCAGCAGATGTTGGCGGCAGCAGCTGCTACGTGTCGGCAGCAGCAGCAGCAGCACTGCGTAGCTGCGGCGGCTGCTGCCGCTGCCGCGGGCGCTGCCGACGGTCTCCTAGCAGGAGGAGGACACGTGGACGATGAGCGGCAGCCGCAGCTTGAGCTCCAACAGCGACTCATAGGAGAAGCCGCATTGCGGCAATTGTTGCTAGCACAGCGGCATCAAGCAGGGGGGGGAGCGGGAGCTGGGGGGAGCGAGATGATGGATGTGGCAGCTCTCACTTCAGCGCAGTGGGAACAGGTGAGCGCATTTCTGCGTGGTTGGATGGCAGTAGACTATGGAGCCGCGGCGGCAGCCTTGGCGGCCGCCGCCACCGCGGCGGCGGCGTCGGCGTCAGCGTCGGCGTCGGGGTCAAGCTCGCTCACAGGATCAGTGTCTTCTGAGCAAGCAGCAGCTGCTGCTGCCGCGGCCGCTGGGGTGATGCTTGGAGGAAGAGGGCCTTCTCCCGCCTCCTGCGCCTCGTCTCATCAGCTTCATCCGCATGCTGCCGTTAATGTTCAGAGCGCGGGGAGGTTTTCCTCCTCCTCACCACAGTCGGTGCGGCATTACCCTGCTAGACCAGATCAAGCCGACTTGGAGCCCCCCACCGTGATGAGAATGATGAAGACGCCCGCCGTAGCCGTGAATGCTACGGGGATGGTTATTGATAGTGGTATGAATCCTCTAGAAGAGGCCGGCAGGAGAATGGTGACAAGTTGGAGGCAGGCTGGAGATGGAATGGCCCCATGGTCATCCTCGGCAGATTTCGAGGCGACAACCCCGTCGGCAAGGCCTATGACAGCCCCCCGAGGCGAACCCACGACCTCTGGCCTGGAGACCAGTAGGAACATGGTCGTGGACTCCATTGGGGGCTCATCCAGGCCGATTACTTTCTTCGATTTCCTCGGCGTGGGTGCCATCGCTTAGCGTTCCGTGAGATGGGCATATACAGCATACATCACGATGTGCCCTTGTTGGTATCACTCTGGCAGTTACAAACTCGATGTCGAAATAGAGAGAAAGGCCTGTTCTTTGCGAAGTACAACTCTTGTCATCCTGCCTTTCCATCGTCGTCTCTTTCTTCTCTCTCTCCCTTCTTTTCTCTCTCTCTCTCTCTCGTTCTTTCTCTGTATCTGGCGCTCGCGCGCACCTCTCCGTCTGATCTGAACACCACCCCGGCGCTAATTTTCTCTCGCGCTTGTGCAGCTTGGGAATGAGAGGGTGGGGAGGGGAGAGAGAGGAGGAGGGAGGGAGAAGAAGTGAGACGGACGACGAAACGGTAGGGACGGAGAAGGCTGGCTGGCAGGATGATGGGATTTTCCACTCGTGTGTTATGTATATCATCACGCTGTCTTTTCAAACATCCGCTCGTTTGATGCCTTTGTTTACTTTGTCGGCGGCGTTTTCGTGCTCGCCGTCAGTCGGCCCATCATCAAGGTTCCCCTGTCGTTGGTGCTCTAAGAGGGTTCATTTTGAATCTCCGTATGTGTACAGCAATATGCATATATCGCGTAGAGAGAAAAAAACGCCGTGCTTGTCCGTTTGATCAGGGACGATCACTTCGCTTTGGAAGAGTTGTAGGCTCCACGGGAAGAGGGGCCCAGGGGGCCGCCGGGGGAAGGGGGAAGGGGAGAGGGAAGGGGGACTCGTGTAGAATGTAGGGTAGATAGGTAGGTATTCTTTATGATTCTATTGGTGTAGATTCCACGAATGTGGACAGATGGGTGCGCATACACCATCACCAGACGCTCGCTTTCACCCCGTGGCAGTCGGGCGTCTCCCTCTCCCTCTCATACGTGTTCTGGCCTTTATTCCCTTGCTGACTCAGAGCGTGGCGTGTGTGAACGAGATGACGAGAACCGGATCGGATCCGCGTTCACACTCGCCACGTCAGCATGGCAGGCCACGTCAGCATGGCTGGCGAAAGTAGGTTGCGGTTTCCAGTTTCGGCAGCTATTGGCGCCTAAACTTCGCCTCCGCTCACTTTTAAGGAAGGAGGGAGGTAGAGAGATGTTTGTTTGTGTGAATTCCAACTTGCGCTGTGTCCTTTCAAATTCCTTCACGTCCCCTCCGGATTTATCCCCCCCCCCCTTCCCCCCACTGTCCCTACGCTCTCTCTCGTCGACGAATGAAGCTGCGTTTCCCCCCCCCGGTTCTTGGAAGAAAAGCAACGAGAGGCGTCTTCAGGGAGGCAATGGGCGTGGGGGGGGGAGGGGGAGGAGGATTTGGAAAAGTAAAGGTCTTTCTTGCGGCGGGCGCGTGGAGACCGCCGCTGCAGTGATTGCCTTTTGACCACAAGTGTCGCCCCCCAAAAGGAGTCGCTTAGGGGGGGGAGGAGGAGGACGGGGGGAGCGGAGGGGGAGGAGGATGGGGAAAAGTAAACGTCTTTCTTGCGGCGGGCGCGTGAAGAGCAGCGCTACTCTGCTCAGTGATTGCCTTTGACCACCAGTGTCGCCCGCGAAAGGAGTCGCTCGAGAACGAAGCTGTTCTCTGTACACACGAGTTCAAACACGAGTCAAACAGGAGTGAAAAAATGTAATCGTGTTCCAGGAGGACACGTAAGTGGATCTGCAATCTCCAGCACCAGTCGGTGTGGGGAGGGGCCGGTCATTCGATGTCGTTTGTCCGGTTTTTTTTGTTCGATTTCGTTCGTTTCCTGTCGAGCGTCGAGCCACAGAGGAATGGACGTCGGTTTTCTTCATTGACTTTTACATAGCATAGCATTGTTTTCGTTCACTTTCGGCGGTCATCATATTCATGGATTTGAGCGGAGACGGTGGGTGGCAGGGGTACGAGACACGAGCCTGCGAGTGGGAGCCGCTATGTGTTCACACGAGGAGGAGGAGAAAGAAATTGTGTGTCTATCTCTGGTGCGTGGGAGAGGAGGAAGAGGGACATGAAGAGAGCAGGGATGACGAGGAGGGAGGAAGAGAGGAGGGAGGGAGGAAGAGAGGAGGGAGGGAGGGAGAGAGGAGGGAGGAAGCGAGGAAGGAGGAAGAGAGGAGGGATGCATGTGTGTGACATGTGTGTGACATCTTCGTCGTTCTCAATGGCAGCTGGCTGAATGTTGATCGCGTCGTGGCGCTGCGTGACTTCGGAGTCGCATAACGACAAGGGCATATTTGTCAAGGAGAGGACTTTGCTGGATGAATGATTGCGTGATTCACGGCCAGATTCGATCGAGCAAGGACAAAGGGTGGTTTGAACTTCGGTAGGATGAGGGACGTGTGGTCGAATCTGTTGACGTCATCGGAAATGGTGGAAGAATTGACGCCTGGAAAGTGTTCCCGGTGAGTACGAAGTAGGAGAGGGGAAGCCAGGGAGGGGGGAAAGTGTAGCCTCGTCGAAACTTTCACCCCACCGGTTGCTTTGATCACTTCGTCGTTGATCGTGGGTGCCTGGTGATCGTCATCGCTTGTTTGCTGGCCTGATTGATTGGTTGATTAGTCGGATGGTTGGTTGATTGATTGGTTGATTGATTGGTTGGATGATTGGTTGATTTATGGATGGAGAGTATCGCCAGGGATTTATCTCCGCCAATCAAAGACTTGTCCGTGCGGCTGCGCAGTTAGAAAAGAAAGGAGCGCGGGGAGCACGTGGAAAAAGCTGACGAGTCACAGGGCGGACGCAACTGGCGGGGAGAAGAAGGGGTGTGTGTGTGTGTGTGTGTGTGTGTGTGTGTGTGTGTGTGTGAGAGAGAGAGAGAGAGAGAGAGAGAGAGAGAGACATGGCGTGGCGAGAAGAAAGAGGTCGGGGTAGGGGGCAGAGAGGGCGCGGTTGCTGCGCTCGAGTGAGAGTCCTGGAATAAGAAATTTGAGTGGATGAGGCAAACGAAGTCAGGAAGCCGGTTTCTAATTCGTTTCTCGTCCGTTTAGGTTTGCCTTTCTTTCTCTTTTTTTTTTTAAACGTTTTCGTGCCTTTTCGTTTTATCAGCCGTCCGGGTGCCCAACTTTGCAACGATGCAACTTTTCGATTGCTCGCTACTTTTCCGAACTTCCTTTGCAGCTTCCGTTCTGTGTACAAAGATATAATTCGACTTTTCGTCGTTTACTTGTCCGGATATGTATCGCTTCGTATTCG